GGGGGGGGGGCTTTCTTCGGGGGGCCCGCCTTGGGCCTTGGGGATCCCCTCACGGGGGGGGCCGCCCCTCTTTTTTTGGAAAGCCTTGGGGCCGGGGGGCGCCTTCTTTTTTCTGGGCGGGCGGGGGTCGAAGCTTGGGACTTCCTCGAGGGGGGATTTTGCCCTCGCCCTAAGGGGGCGGCGGCCGGGTTTGGGTGTTAACCTTCCAGGGCGGGGTGAAAGATTTTTGAGGGGGGGCCAGAGGGAGAAGCAGGCCCCCCTTTTCTTCCGCCGCACGTTGCGCAGCCGCCGCTTTCTGCTCGGCCGCCTCCCGCGCCGCAGTCTCCTTGGCAGCAACCGCGGCCGCCTTGGCCTCGGCTGCCTCCCGTGCCGCCGCCTCCTTCTTCGCAGCCTCGGCCGCGCGCGCCTCCTGCTGCTGGCGGGCGGTGTCGAGCTTGGACTGCTCGAGGCGCGACTTCGCCTCGGCCTAAGGGGCGGCGGCGGGGCTGGTGGTGAGCTGCATCGCAAGTGGAATAGTTGTGGGTGTTGGGAGGGGCGCGGGGGGGGGGGGGCATCGGGGTCAGAGGTCAGAGGAAATGCGCGCCTTCGCCGCGGCCGCCTGCTGCGCCGCCTCCGCCTTCGCCGCCTTGGCTTCCTCCGCCTGCCGCGTCGCCGCAGCAGCCTTCTCTGCGCGAGCAGTCTCCGCAGCCAGCTTGGCCGCCTCGGCCTCGGACTTCTTTTGCGCTGCTGCCGCCGCTTTTTGTTCGGCCGCCTCCCGCGCCGCAGTCTCCTTGGCAGCCACCGCGGCCGCCTTGGCCTCGGCTGCCTCCCGTGCCGCCGCCTCCTTCTTCGCAGCCTCGGCCGCGCGCGCCTCCTGCTGCTGGCGGGCGGTGTCGAGCTTGGACTGCTCGAGGCGCGACTTCGCCTCGGCCTAAGGGGCGGCGGCGGGGCTGGTGGTGAGCTGCATCGCAAGGTGGAATAGTTGTGGGTGTTGGGAGGGGCGCGGGGGGGGGGGGGGGGGCATCGGGGTCAGAGGTCAGAGGAAATGCGCGCCTTCGCCGCGGCCGCCTGCTGCGCCGCCTCCGCCTTCGCCGCCTTGGCTTCCTCCGCCTGCCGCGTCGCCGCAGCAGCCTTCTCTGCGCGAGCAGTCTCCGCAGCCAGCTTGGCCGCCTCGGCCTCGGACTTCTTTTGCGCTGCCGCCGCCGCTTTCTGCTCGGCCGTCTCCCGCGCCGCAGTCTCCTTGGCAGCCACCGCGGCCGCCTTGGCCTCGGCTGCCTCCCGTGCGGCCGCCTCCTTCTTCGCAGCCTCGGCCGCTCGCGCCTCCTGCTGCTGGCGGGCGGTGTCGAGCTTGGACTGCTCGAGGCGCGACTTCGCCTCGGCCTGAGGGGCGGCGGGAAGGCTGGTGGTGAGCTGCAGGGCGGGCGGAAGAGCTGCGAGTGTGCGTGTTCGTGTGTATGTGAGGGAGGCGGCAGAGTGACGAGGGAAGTAAGGGAGAGGCCCACCTTCTCCTCCGCCGCACGCTGCTTGGCCGCCTCCGCCTCGGTCTTCTGCTGAGCCGCAGCCGCAGCCCTCGCCTCGGCAGCCTCCTTGCGAGCAGCTTCCTCCGCCGCCTTCTTGGACTCCGCCTCGACCCGCTTCTGCGCGTCTGCGGCCGCCCGCGCCTCCGCCGCCGCCGCCGCCTCCGCCTTCTTGCTCGCGGCGGCGGCGGACTTTGACTCGTCAGCGTCGCGCCGGGCAGCCTCGCGCGCCGCAGCCTGCGCCGCCTTCGTCTCCTCGGACGCCTGGCAGAACGAAGAGGCGCAGGGTCAAGCCGAGTGGGCAGGGGGAGGGGGGAGGGGTCGGTGCGTTGCAAGCACACCTGCCGCGCCGCCGCAGCCGCCTCCGCCCGGGCCTGCTCGGATGCCAGGCGAGCCG